CCCTAGTTTATTTTTCTTACATAATTTGCATGCCTGTAGACTCAGCTATCCAGGAAAGTTTGACTTTAGCTCAGAAATTCAAGGTCAGTCTAGACACTATAGCTATCAAAAGGTCATTTCTTTAAAAATTGAATTAAGTGCAGGGCATCGGTTGACACATGCTGCTAGTCCCAGCACTTGGGGCAGAATAGTGGCAGTCACAAGTTCAAAGCCAGCCTGAGGTGCACAGTATTCTCCAAGCCAACAAAAGGAATTAGTAATGCTTCCAACTTTCTGGAAAATGTTACATGAAGTTGGATAGGAAAAATGGAATTTTTTTCTTTGTTTTCTGTATTCTAGTAAAAATTGTGTGGAACCAGCATCATTTTTCTCTACCTATTTTGTTGATTTCACTATTGAAACTGTTTAGCCCAGATGTAGATTTTTGCAAACGTTTTTAAATTATGTATTCAAATTTTTATAAATTATAAAACTATCCAAATTAATGATTGTAGTGTGTTCATGGCTTCTGTCCAATTTTCTGAATTGTCAAATTCACCTGTTCACCATCATTCCTAACATCTCTTTATTGTTTTTTTTTTAATTCTTTTAGTTTTTGAAATTCTAATTACATCATTTTCCCTTTCCTTTTCCCCTCTTCAAATCCCCCCTTTTCAAGTTCATGATCTCTTGGTAATTGTTGTTACATGCATATTTATTCCTAAATATAAATTGCTCAGTCTGTTTGCTCCCTGTATGTATGTTTTCAGGCCTGACTCTTTGGTACTGGAAGACAAATTGGTGTGTTCTTCCTTGGGAAGACAGTTTCTCCCATGCTTAGCATTCCTCAGGTGCCTGTAGTTCTTCATGTAGGGTTGAGGCCTCGTAGACTTTTCCCCATCCTTGTTCAGTTCATGTTTAGGCAATCATACGAGTAAGACTCTCTGGATGTATGAATCACACAATGACTAGCATGGAACAATAACCCTAACAATGCTGTAGTGGCACACATACCTTGACAGTAACCACCACTCTCTTATTGGATTTAAGATCCACTCAACAAGAAGGAAATCATGCCTGGTATTGGAAACCTAGTCAACTACTCAGGACTATTGAAGTCATGGATCTGGGGAAAGGATCTACAACCACCACTTTACTAAACCAGCATAATCCCTAACTACATAAGATTTGCCCTTATACCCACAGGAAAGTGTAACCTTTACCCCCAACAACAACAACAACAACAACAACAACAAAAAACCTCACTACAAAGTTGGAGACCACTACAGAACACCATAACCAATCAAAATACAGAGGTATGGAGCCTAATCCCAACAGATACATATGCAAAACACTCCTACACCTAGAGTTTAAGAAATACTGCTGTATAAGAAGGGATGGAAAGGTAAGAGATAAAGAATCAGGGGGTTTGCTGTGAGATTGTGTCTTCTGCTACAATCAGAAGCTCCATCCATAAAGAGTCCTGACTTTTTCACAGCCACCATGTCTCTGGTGAAACCCTCCCTCTATTACATCCCTGAGATTGGTGATTTTTATCAGCTTACAAAAAGATTTGCCAATTTTATTTGTTTTTTTTTTCACAGAACCAGTTTTTTTGTTGCTGCTGTTTAATGGATTTTCTGTTTATTTGTTTTTTATTTCATTACTTTCTTCCTCTCTTGTTATCCTAGTTCCCTTCACTGCTTTCCTTGGGCCAATTTGATTCTTCTATCTTCAGCTTTTCAACTGCAGTCCTAAGACTATTGGTCTGAGACCTTTATTTAGATCATGAGCATTTTGTGATACAAAAGTACCCCTCCTCACTATTGTGGATGGACTTGTATATTTTATTAGGTTGTATTTTCATTCTCTTTCAGTTATTTATACTTCGTGCTTTTCACTGAGATTTTCACTTGACTAATACAATACAAAAAAAGTATATTTTTAAATTTTCCAGGTGTTTAGGGATTTGCTTGTCTTTTTACTATTATTTATGATTGCATTCCCTTGTAATTCACCACACTGTCCACATGATCTCACTGATTGCCTACAGTGTGCTCTATCTTGAATTTTTTTAACGAACAAAAGAATTGAATCAAGACACTTGTAACACGCAGATGCACGTTTTGTTGTGGTTGTGGAGGGTGCAAAATCTGTCTAGATCCCATTTCTTTCAGTCATTTGGAGACTCTTTAGACTTGCTGACTTTCTCTCCACTAGTTCTGTCCTAGCACTTCTAAGAGAAGGGGACAATGATGCCGCCAAATATGGCTGGAGATCTCTCTGAATCCTGTGCAGTTTTAACAGTTTTCGCAAACAAAGCACTGTTGGCATTTCCCCTTAATCTCATTTTTTAAACAAAACCAGGAAGCATCAATCCATATTCCTGGATAATGGGCATTAAATGAAGAATTTGTAGATGTCATTTATCTTGCCTCACCGCAGAAGAGAAATAGAGCAGTGATTTCAACAAATTCTTCTTAAGAACAGTGTTTATGTATCTACTGGTGTTATCTGTGGGATTTTTCCCTCCCTCTTACCTGTGGCTAGGGGGGTGGGGTGGAGGGAGATGGAGTCAAGACAAGTTTCCCCGAAGAACACTCTGGAGACAAGCTTCGATGTGCAGATCTGGTTTGTTTTGTTTTTTGTTTGTTTGTTTGTTTGTTTGTTTGTTTGTTTTTCAAGACAGGGTTTCTCTGTGGCTTTGGAGGCTGTCTTGGAACTAGCTCTTGTAGACACTGCTGGTCTCGAACTCACAGAGATCTGCCTGTCTCTGCGTCCCGAGTCCTGGGATTAAAGGCGTTCGCAACCACCACCCAGCTCAGATCTGGTGTAATGTATATGTTCACTGGCATAGATGCATACATTATCCAATCAGCTAAGGTCATATGGAATTACCGTTCAATGAGTCCAAATGACACATAACCACATTATGTGAGGGAGTCCACGGGACGGGGTACAGTATGTCCAAGCAATGTGTCTGCAGACAAAGGGCAGGAAGTAAGCAATGCCCTGGGCTTCGGCACCAATTAGAGGGTCTCCAGTTAGCTGAGACTCATTATGAGTCATCTAGTGTTCCAGAGACTCAAGTCTGCTCAAACAGCCACAGGAGGTGTTAGTACTTTTCACGTCCCTGGTCTTTTAGTGACACCATCAGAACAGAGACTGACCCCCTCGGTGATCTGTTTACATGAAACAGAAACATGATTTATATGGTGGTGTCTGTGTGATGAGGTCACACATCAGGGTTTGTGGGAAGAATATCTTCTGCCATACGATTTCTCACAACTGGAGTACTAAACTTCCTGATAGAAGTAGGCCTCAGGGAAAGAATATTGGAGTGGGCTGTTTCTAAACTTGGGTTGTACACAAGCTTAGATAAGTGAGCATTTTATACCTGAGCATGGTTTGAATATGTTGGAAAAAGTGCAGTTAAAAACAGATGATGCAACATTTTGACACCTTAATAGACTCTACTTACATAAGCTTTCAAAACCCTAACAAGCCAAAACTGAAAAACCCTCAGATCTTCACCACTGGTATATTGACCATAGATGTGGTCATCTGTGCATAAGTCATTTGCAGATATTTCTCCAAGAAGTAGTTACAAGTAATCGTGAGTAATGGTGCTACAGGGGATTTATCTTTCATCATGAGAAATGTTTGTGGGTTCGTTAGCACAGCATAACAGGAGGATAGAATAGTGTGTCTCAGGGAGGCATTTCAAACGTGTAGCATGTCACCACATAAACTAAAGACTTGTTTGCATGAAGCATGCACCAAAGTGTAGTTTTCATGAGTTCGGTAACAACTTTACCTTAATGGAAAATGGGTTGGAACTATGATATTTCTCTGATCTGCATTTCTGTGATGTGAAGCATCTGTAATATTAATTGTGCATCAATTTTATAACCCATCCATTATAATAAAGTTGCTTAATATGCATCATCTATGTTATAAATAATGGCAGTCCTTGTCTTCAAACAACAAAGGTAGTTATCATCTAAAAACAAACTAATTTTAATAAACTCAGAATCTATCCCTGTGGAAACAAGTGACTTGTTTCCTAGACTTATCCAGACTTTTTACAGACCTCTTCTGTGACTGACTGGTTTTTTTGTTGTTTTTTTTGGTTTTGGTTTTTGTTTGTTTGTTTGTTTTAAACTTAGTTGTTTTTTTTTCTTTTTCATTTTTTTAAAATTTAAGTTAGAAACAAGCTTGTTTCACATGTCAAACCCAGCTTGCTCCCTCTCCCGCCCTTCCTCCCCCGCCCTCCCCACCAGGCCCCCCCAGTCCTCCACCCAATCTCCACTCCCATCCCCTGTTTAAGAGGCCTCTGTATTTGGCCCTTCCTCAGGGTTAACTCACAGCTCTTCCTAAATAATCTCCAAGTCATTTCCCTGGCACAGGTGTTGTTTTCCAGGCAGCTATTGCCAAAGGGCAGCATGCTAATTAACAAACTTCAGATCTGGAGGGTTCTGGGTCTCACTTCTGACAGCCAATACATGTGTCACTCACACAGTTATCCATCTGAAACTGCTTGTGTTTAAAGATTCCAACACTGTAACAAAAGGCTGAACACTCCTAAAACTTACTTCTATTCCCTGGGAGTAACTCTTAAATTTAGGGATTATGTCATCCCTCGCAACACCATGAAGCTCTAGTGTCTACAGCACTTGCCGTTGTATTTCAGGGGTCACTCTTTTCATGCTACCAAGCCCACGAAGCCAACTATGCTACATATCCCCGGTGAGAAAACATTACTATTCAACCTTCACATTTCCTATTAAAACGGACACTTTCACAGTGTTAAAAACTTGAGGAGGCATGTATCCCATGACAGGAGACATAGACAATAGGAGGCTTCAGTAGTCTTCAGGCTAGTTTTCTAGAGAAGAAAGTCTTTAGACATCAGTCAGATGCTCTAAGCACAGTACCTAAAGGTGCAGAAATATTCACACCAGGTCTTAGAGTGGGTTACTCTACAATGCTTCTCTCTGACATCTGTTCTGGTGTTTTAGGAGTTCGTGATGATCGTTGTCTTTGGCTTGGAGTTCATCATTAGAATCTGGTCTGCAGGTTGCTGTTGTCGTTATAGAGGATGGCAAGGAAGACTGAGGTTCGCGAGAAAGCCTTTCTGTGTTATAGGTGAGTATCAAAGTCTCCAGATTTATGATACTGCATATTCTCTTCTCCTCTTGCTTTACAACATTGGAAGGGACAATACCCAGGAATTACTGACTGTGGACTGGCTCTCTGCTTCTGTCTCTGTCTCTGTCTATCTGTCTGTCTCTCTCTCTCTGTCTCTCTGTCTCTGTCTCTGTCTCTGTCTCTGTCTCTGTCTCTCTCTCTCTCTCTCTCTCTCTGTGTGTGTGTATGTGTGTGAGAATCTGGGTATATGTTAGCTAGCTCTACAATATACCACAAGGCTGTGTTCAAATGGGCATTCCTGTATTGTTCTTAGTAGCACAGACCCTCTAGCATACACAGAAGCCACTGGGTAGCTTATGCTCTGAGTTCTACACTGTGAAATATGATTCCCCCACCCACAGTTCCTATACAAAGCACACATTTTCATTGCCCCTAGCTTCTGTAATTCCAGAAGGGACTTCAGTTGGTGACTCAGTTTGAAATTATGCCTTCTGATGAAGACACTGCAGAACCCTGTGGAGTCAAGACCTGGCATCTCTCAGTATTTTATTTAAAATTATATCTTAAAAGTGAAAACTCTCCATATCAAAACTATTATCAGGCAGCTAAATTTTGTTTTCCTGCTCTTTGCCTTTCTCTCTTGCTAGGCAACCATTCAAATTCAAATGCTGGAAGTTCTCCTGGGTGAGGCTTACTCTAGTTATTTCCAAGCTGAGAAAGTGGGGTTTAATTTACAAGATAGTTTACTCTCTTGTTTGAGGAGTTAGGATTCCTTTGCTCACATCCCTTAATCTTTTTATTCGTGGTGAGTGGTGAGAGCTAGAGTGCTTTCGAGCAGTAGAGTTCTGCTTCTGCAAGCACTTCTAACACCAAGCTCTCTCACGTACAAACCAGCATGCTCAGGTATGGAGAAAAGCAAATGGCTTCTTATAACCCCACAGAGCAAGGAATCAGGCATTTGACCCCCCCCCACACACACACACAATCCTTTTCTCATTCCAAATTCTCTGCTGAAACAAGGACATGAAAGATTATCACTTGAAAGGAAACTACTGCATTACAAGGGCTCTCTGTCCCATGAAAGACCCTAACAAAAAAATTCACAAGGCAGGTGGTTGGCCAAGATGCACTCAACTTCTGCGGGATAAGGTCAGTTTATGGATGACTGCAGGGATGTTCCAATCCAGATTTTAAAACCAATTAAAATGTGGTTGCATTCTCATTCCAAGTGCAATGCCGATGTATTTCTGCTCTTCAGGCTAGAAAGGCAGTTCATTCCCAGATGCCTGCTGCCTCTCCATAGCTCTTCCCAGCCATGGATGCATCAGCACAGGGTAGTAATCTTTTAATCTTCCTCAGTCTGCCTCAGCTCTTTCAAGGTCTTGCTTGGAAAATGTTCTGTTCTGTGTCACCTCACTTGCCTCAGCGCACCTATCGGTGGTGACCTTGCAGATTTAATACAGTGTAATAACAGCATAATTTGGGTTTTGTTAGCTTCGGGGCGTTTTTGTTTAGTTGGGAATTTAGCATCTAGAAAAATAACTGCTTTGCAAGATGCCATGGATAAATATATAACGAATTCCCATTAGATCGTAGATCGAATATTTACTTGCAGTGAAGGTAATCATGTGTGACTTTCAGCGTTCTGTTTAATGTCCATGTGACAGTTTGATCTGTGTTTCAACAGAACTGATGTAATAGTGAAATATATTCAAATATGACTTATTGGTTGTTAGATTCCTAGATTTATCCTGCACAGATGAATCAAATGTCACCTACTGAAGGTAAGGGCTATGCCATTACCTTCAAATGTTCAAATTGTTGAGATTCTTCCTAGATCTCTTTAGGGGTCCACAAAAATGCTGTATAAACTGGCAAAAATGATGAAGTCAGTCCTATGGTCCCCTTGTTCAACCAAATTAATGCTGCTGAATGCAAAAAGGAACACTGCACTTTTCTCATCTATCTGTGATATGTGCTCTGAGCAAGAAGGAATCTAAAATATACCAAAACTTATTAATACTTGATATGTTTGAAAGATTAGACTACTCAGATATACACTCAGTTTTTTTTTAAATCTTGAACATTTAATAATAGAATGTGGAAAGGATGACAACTCACCTGATATACCTTCACTGTGGGAAATGTTCTCTCTGGGCACACTATCTTAGTTAGCTTTAGCTATCAACTTGATACAGCCAAGTTGACGGCATTTCGTCAGATTGGCCTATAGCAATCTGTGGGGCATTTTCTTGATTGATGTTTGATGTGGAAGGGCCCAGGCCATTGTGGGTGCTGCTACCCCTGTACAGGTGGACCTGGGTTGTATAGGAAGACAAGCTGAGAAGGAAAGAGAGAGCAAGCCAGGAACCAGAGCTTTTCCATGGTTCTTCTCCAAGTTGTTTGTGGTCAGTGTTTTACCACAGCAACTGAAAGCAGATTAAAACACAACAATGTTGTCACTTCGCATTGGAAGCAAACAGGAGCTAATACCACAGTCAGACTTCCCATAGCATCCTTGTTTACCAACCAGTAATATTTGGACACTATTTAATAGAGGCCCCATGGGCTGATTCCAAAGACTGAAATTTCCTCTTTCAGAACCACCAACTTTCTATTAATTAAAGAAACCACACTGTCATTGTACACTTGTGTTTGGAAAATATATTGTAAGTGCTTAGCATTCTAAAAATCAGTGTTCAGTTGTGTTTTTTTTTAAATCAATGTTTCCTTTCATTACTATTTTGAATATTTTGTTTAGTTTTGATGTAAAATTGTCTGTAGAATTACAAAACTCATTACCCCTATATGTTCAATCAGCTCCATCCCTATGACTCTGCTGTGAAAGCCTACATACAGCGTTGGCCAACCCCTGTCTTCCTACCTCAGAGTTAAAGCGCGTCTGTAGCACCTACCTGGGTTGGCTCCCTGATGACTTCACTATATCCCAACATAAATCCTGTCCTCTATAACGTGAGTAGGGAGATGTGTGAATCACCCCCAGGGACTGGTAACACAGCCATTCTTTTTTACCCAGCTTTTTCTTAATGGCCTACTTGAGAATCACAAATAGTATCAAATGCTGCTACTTAGACTGCAGTAATGAGTCTGATCTGTCAGGTGCCCTCAACGTCAAATAGTAGCTATTTTTTGATTCCTTGGTGACTACTTTTAAAAAAAGTCATAACAGGGCTGTATTTTTTTTTCAGTCTTGAAGTATGTCTCAGGGCAGCAGAAAATGCCAGTCTGTTATTAATCTTGTATCTATATATGATGTTAAATGTAGGTTGATTTCTTATTACTGTCTTAACAGTTTCCTGTGACACTTCCACGGAAGAACCAAGGGGGAAAACCACAGCTTAGATGTTTCCCACGAACTAAGCATGCCTGTCTTTCACTTGAAATAGCAGCTCCTCAGGAGCATGCCAGCAAGTGTGTGTATTTTTTTATTAGAAAATGTAGCCAGATTCTTACTTGGCTCAAAGAAAATGGAAGATTTTATTAGAGTGAGCCACATGACTAAGGCTATTCAAATACATCTGTGAATTCATCACATTATAAGGCAAGTTGTTAACGCGTTCACAAATTAGAACAGAGACTCTGAGAGATGCCACTGGCTTGCAAACTAAAGATTTTTTTCTGCTTCTTTGCCATACCCACCTTTTACTGGAACAGACTTATCTTGACCTGAACCTTCAAAGCTTTTTATCACCTTTAGTAGAAACTGCATTTTCATAGGCTATTGCTTAACAGTCATGTATTCTGCAAATTATCACAACATTCATAATCTTCTGTAACATGTAGTTTCTTTTCCTGTGCTTAATTTAAAACAGCTAAACCCTACTTAATCAAACTATTAAAATGATTTCATTGTCTTTCTAGCAGCATTATTTACTGAGAACTGTTACCCACTACCCACTGTTCCAAGTATGTTATACATATTATATTATTAATACTTATGTATTATAGTATACTTTAAAATTTTTAGTTTTCTCTTTGTGTGTGGGGGGGCTTGTTTTGCCTTCATGTATGTCTGTGTACCACATGCATGCCTGATACTACAGAAGCCAGAAAAGGGAATAGGATTCCCTGAAACTGGAGTTACAGATAGTTGTGAGCTGCCAAGTACGTGTTGTGAAAGAAACTTGGGTGTTCCTAACTACCAAGCCATCTCTCCAACCACTAATACACCATGTTCCACATGAGGAAGTAAGACAGTACTTAACAAACCTTGCAAAGTTAGAAAGAAGGTGGGAAAACAAAAATAAAGATAGGAATATGACTCTAGAAAAAATGACCCTCTTTTGTCATTTACTGACAATTTGAAATTAAACTTGATTAAACTTTGTCCATCAGCATCAACTGATGTCAATCATTAGAAATTCAAAATCCAGGGCTTATAAAATGATATTAACATTAATATTAGCTTTATTTTTAACAACTACACCTATTGCTGTTCTCTGCCTTGGAGGAGAAATTAGGGAATAAACAGAATTCTGTCCCGAGTATGTACTTCTTACACTCTTATGTAATATCATTCTAAGGGTCCCTGGGTATTTGCACATTGGAGGCACCTTCTCCGATAAATAGTCTCACTCCCAGGAATGCCTCCAGCTGCTCATTAACAGTACAGTAGTTGCTTAGACAATGGTTTATGTGGTAAGCATACTTGACAGATAAGGAAGCATAAAATGCTATTATTTGACTGTATAGAAAGTATTCTAAGACGGAAATGCAAAACTGAAGATTGTTTCCCACTTATTCTATAAACTTTAGCAGACCCCTATGACATATTTTACTAGTATTCCTTGTATTTCCTGTTATGTAAGAAAAATCAAGGACAGAATACTTATGTGCCAGACGCACTCAGTGCAAAAGATGCAAACACGAATAAAAATAATTCCTACCTGTAAGATTACAGTCTCATATATCCTTAGAAAGAGGAAAGCCAAAAGGAAATTGAAGAGTTATGGGAAGAAAGATACAGCCTGTCATGA